GCTCTATTTTTCAATTCATGCTTCAATTTTGTCCCATTTTCCCCCAAAAAATTTCAGTCTATGTCAGTATGTGAAGCGTGACTGTTGTGTCAGCCTATGACCCTAGGCCTAGTTTAAGGAGGGCCCTAGGTAAGACTTCATCTCAGCCTGTAGTTAGGCCTATAGTTTATCCTCTTTCTCTCTAGCCTTTGGATATAACTTTTACCTATCTACACTTTATAACAGGAGGTACTATGCTGCTGCTCTTGTTGTAGATAATATACTAACATTTAATAACATCCAAGAACGTCGCAGTTAGGTACACAGTGACGTACATCACATAAGTCCGTGAGATTTCATAGGCCTACCGTAGGTAAACACAGAAAGAGCAATAATAGTAAAACTCGAGCGTCACGACATTGCGAAGTGTCTGCTCTTGTTCCTCGTATCGTACTCACTCGAGTCAATCCGAGATGGCCCGAGTGAAGTTTCATACAAATGTTTCGTACGGAAAAAAAAATCGCCGCCCGGTAATGATGTTAATGTGCCACAAATGTTCGAGGGACAGGATTTCCTTGTACCTGTGGACGATGATGAAGTAGAGCTATGCAACAGCGAATGTACTTTCAAAAGTCAATTCCCGTGCGACGAAGACGTATTTGAACTGTGTTTAATCTTTATGGAAGGAAACCATTTGTCCGTCCCAGCAAGTTGCGAAGAAGGAATATATTTATATAACTTCCTTAGGGACATAATTACGAGAGAAATTAATTGATATAATAAATAATAATGATAGGAGGTAAAAAGCATAGGCCTAATTGCCACTGAATTACTGCAGGTACCCAAGGCTAAGGCAAATATAAAATCATTTTTTCATTTGTTGATAATGCTTAACCTTGCATAATCTATTAAATTTCTGTGATCTATAAATTATTATCCATTTAATTGATGGCGTGCTCCATGTATGTTTACTCGACATGTATTGTTTGCAAATAGTGGCTCAGAATGTTCGGCCTGTTTGCGAGATGTGTACCGGTTTCAGTGTGATGGTGTTATATGTTGGATCTTGATGGAAGAACAACTGTCAATTCCAAAAAAAAATTGCAAAGATGGATTAATATCAATGTATGCACACCAGGAGGA